ATGGAGCGGGCCGCAGCCAGCAGGCGCCTCTGCGCGGCCGACGTGCGCCGTCGTCGTCGTCGTGGTCGTCGTCGTCCTCCTCCTCCTCCTCCTCCTCCTCCTCCTCCTCCTTCCTTCCCTCGCGCCCTTGCGGCGGGCGGCCACCCACGGGGGGGGATCTAACATGTGGTCGTCTGGGCGCACCCAGCTTGGGGCCCGCAGGAGCCATACATATTCAGTGCATCGGCACCAGATGTGTAATGACTTGAGTCAGTTGTTTCGGCGGGTGATTTCCCAGATTCCCCTCTGGGGTATCTGACATGATGGTCCCGAACTGGAACCGCGGTCGCGGTCGTCGCCGTCCGCGTTCGTCGTCGTCGTCGGCGCGTCGGCCCGCCCCTTCTCGATGCATCTCGCCTCGGCTTGGTTTCGTTCTTACCATTTTGCGCTGTTGCGGAACATAATCCTTTCATAAGGTCTCGATTGAAATCAGTTCTGGGCAAGCAATGCGCGCAGGCAACTCGGGCTTGAGGCCCAGCCAAGTTCTGTCAGAATTCGGATGCCAGGGAATATTTGATCCATGACGCAACAGAGCACGGAATTGTTCAGATTCGCCCCTTTTCGGTTCGTCCCGCTTCCGAATTGATCGGATATGTTGCTCGAGCTGGTCGAGCGCTCCGCGCGTTTCGATTGCGGCCAGATCTGACTTATGCGTTCAGGCAGCTCGAGCTTAATATCCAGATCAGTTCGATCGGGATTCTGACGCCACGGACGACCTGCTCCACAATGCAACAGAGCACAGCACTTCAACGCGGCATGGCCCGTCTCAGTTCATCACAGCACAGCACAGCACAGCCTCTGGCGCTGTACATCACCAGCGCTACCTTGAGCATTACAGCTGCCCGTCGCCCAAACTTGGTGTTTTGCGCAATTCCCATGCTTCACATTTCTATAAATCCCTTCCCCCCGGCGCGTCGCCTGGCACGTTCTGTGGCGGGTCCCGTGGTGCGACCCCTTGGCACGTCGCACGGCGCGTCCCGTGGCACGTCCCCTGGCGCACTAGCACATTCCGTGGCGCGTCCCCCTCGCACGTCCCGCAGTGCGTCCCTTGGCACGTCCCTTGGCACGTCCCCCAGCGCGTCCCTCGGGACGTTCCGCTGCGCGTCCCCCTGGCGTGTCCCGCGGCGCGTCCCTCGTTACGTCCCCTGGCGCGTCCTTAGGCACGCGCGGCACAGCGCAGCGCAGCACAGCACTGCACATGGCATAGCATTATCATCACCATCGGCATCTTCAGCATTGCTACTGCCCATCGCCAAATTGAGGTGCTTCGAAACAGTTCCATGCATAGTATCCCGAGCCATCTTCTGATCCTGTGCCCCGGGAGAGCTCCCTGAGGCCGAGCATTGTAGACGAAGCTTCCGTCGTGACTTTTTCGAGACGAGCGGAGGTCCAAGTAGTATCATAAGACCCCCTTCTTGGAAGACTGCCACCCTTGTGCGCGTCGCTGGAGGCTGCAGTCGCAGCGGGACATGCTGCGGGAGCTGGAGGAGCTGGAGGCCTTCCCTGTCCCCCCCCGCGCGCTGCTGCTGCTCCACTCCCTTCCTCCACTCCCTCCTCCAACTCTTCCTTCCCCTGCTTCCCATATCTCCCTTCCTCCACTCCCTCCGTCAACTCTTCCTGCTTCCGCTGCTCCGCTCCCTGCTTCAACTCTTCTTTCCCCTGCTTCTGCTGCTCCACTCCCTTCCTCCACTCCCTCCTTCAACTCTTCCTTCCCCTAGGCCCACCAAAGAGAATGTTCAAAGAACCTTTTTTGTGGTCTGCACGAAATGTTCTTAGAACATTCCTGGCTGGGACTGTCTTGTTTGAACACATCGTGTTTGTGTTCTAGGAACACTGTTTTCTGAGGGCATTTGGGGTTATAAGAAGATTTCGTGGTAGGCCTGTAGGAATGCCGGGACGGTCGGTCCCCGCTAAATCTTCAGAGGACCCCTTGTTCCTCCTACATCTCTGCCTTCCCCTCCGTCCCCATCCCTCCCAACACTGGGGCAAGGGGCGGTGTCCCTGCACTGCTCCAGCCTCCTGGATTCCATAGGTTTTGTAGGAGGTTCGGAGTTTGGGGGGGTCGGTGGGTTCGTTGGCCCTGTATGCGTTTGGTTCGATACGGCCGCACCCTGGCCGATGTTTAAGACGTCTTCATCCGCCTTGTGTTCTAGTATACGCCTTGGTACGCAGCAGGCCAGCAGAGGCACACGGGGAGCACGAAGTTCGTTCATTCACTCATAGTTCATTCCCCATCCCTCTTCCTCGTAAATGCCTCTCCATGTCGCACCACCAGACGTGTCCACAGGCCGCACCAGGCGTTTCGCACTTCCTTACGCAGTTCATTGTGTTGAAGCTGCGTTCGAAAACTCCAGCTGCTCCACGGACGGGGGACCGATGGTCTGAAAATCACGCTGTTCGCCCTGGCGCCGCGCACACTCTCCCGAAAAGTTTGCAGCAGGTCCACGGATTGAGGACCCGTGGCTCTCACATGCGGCTCTCGCTGTATCGTTGGGCGCATTCGCAGCAGATGCAGGGTTGAATGGAGGCCAGTACGGTTTCACAGTGCAGTTTCCGCTTGAGATTTCCCCGAACTCGATGACCCGAAGATCTAAATTGTGCAACAGCTAGACGGACGGAGGTCGGGTCCTTCTCTGAATGGGGTTGTTTTGAGATTCCCGCTAATTTTACGACCAGAACTCGTTGTGAATTTGCGCAGCGCTTCCACTTGCTGCGGGGCAGATCCTTTCCAAAATGGGGGTCATCGTTGGATATCGAAGACGTCTGCGGCGAATCACTGCCGCCCTCTGCAGTTTTGGAAGCGCCTGCGTAGCCAAAGTTGGGTTTGAGGTTGGGCAAGCTATCGGGCCACGCGTTCCCCGAGTGGGTTTCGAAAGCCTTCGGGGAACACGGAGTCGGGCGTGCTATCGGACCAGGTGGTTTCCGAGCTTTCGGGCCTCCTGGTGGACGTCTTGAAGGGTCTTGGGACGTCTTGGAGGCCTATGGCGGGCCTTTTGGGCAGTCTAAGGCCATCTTCAGGCCATCTGGAGCCATCTTGGGTGCATCTTGGGGCCATCTTCGCCGTCTTGGAGGCCTTCTTGGCCGTCTTGGGACGGTTTTGGCCCGTCCGACGTCGTCGGAGGCGTTTCTGGGCCGTCTGTCGCCGTCGGAGGCTATTGGGGGAGCCTCGCTGGAGTTTCTTAGGGCGTTTCTAAGCCGTCTCCTGGAAGCCCTATGGCCAAACGTTTGGAGCTAGAGATTCGCGAAGCTATCAGACCAGGTGTTCCCCGAACTGCTGTGGAAATCTTTTGGGGAACGCCTGGAGGAGCAGGATGTTGAGGAACAGGAGAGGGAGGAGGAGCAGCGGGAGGAGGAGGCGGGAAGCGCTTTGACAGCCTCTTGGGGCACTCACTCTTCGGGCCTCTTGGAGGCCTCTTGGGGGCTTCATTGAGCCTCTTGGAAGCTCTTGGGGGCTCCTTGGCTTCTTGGGGGCCTCCCGTCGTATAGCGTTCCTGGCCCGCCTGGCGCCGTCGGAAGCCGTTTTGGGAGCCTTTCTGAACCGACTTGGGGCCCTCTTGGGGCGCTTCAGGACCGTTTTGGAGGCCACCTTGGGCGTTTTGGAAGCCTCTTGGGCCATATTGGGGCATTCTTGGAGCCGTCGTGGGGGCGTCTTGGCCGTAATGAGGACATCGTGGGGCCTCTTGGGCGATCTTGGGGTTTCTCTTGGGCCGTCTTGGATCGTCGGAAGGCCGAAAAGATGCAAATGCGAAAATCTTTCAAACACGTAAGGACAGTCCTTGATTTTGATTTCTTCGGGTTTTCCTGGAGGACGTCTTGGAGGCATCTTGGGCTGTCTTGGACGCATCTTGGGCGCCTCTTGGGCCACCTTCGGCTTTCTTGGGGATATTGCTGCTGTCTTGGATGCCATCTTGATCGTCTTGGAGGTCATCGTGGCAGTCTTGAGGTTTCTTGGAGACCATCTTGGCCGTTTTTGAGACCTCTTGGGCCGTTTGGGGGCCCTGTTGGGGCTGGCTTGCAGGCCTCTTGGGCCGTTCTGGAGCCATCTGGGAGGCCTCTGGGACTAGTTTGGGGACTCCTTGGGCCGTCTTAGGCGGTCGGAACACCAAAACCGAGGAAAAATAACAATCCTTCAAATACCTAAGGAACATTTAAGACTTTGGCTCCCTCGGGCCTTCCTGGAACACCTCTAGGGCTCCTCTGGGGCAATCTTAGAACCTCTCGGGTCCATCTTGGGCCATCTTGGCCGTCTTAGCCGCCATCTTGTCCGTCTTGAAGCTCATCTTGAAGGTGTTGGAAGCATCTTGGAGGCCATCTTGGCCGTCTTGGAGACCTTGGGCGTCCGGAAGGGCGCTGGAGTCGTCTTGGCGCTCTTTTGGGGCCGTCTTGGGGGCCTCGTGGGCCGTCATAGGGCCATCTTGGAGGCCTCTTGGGCGCTCTGGGGACGATCTTTCGGGCTCCTTGGGCCGTCGTGAGCCATCGGAAGGCTCGAAAAGAACAAAAGCCAGAATTCTTCAACAACCTAAGGTAAACATTGATTTTGACCTCTTCGGGGGTTTCGTGGAGGACTCTTGGAGGCCTCTTCGGCCGTATTGGAGGCCTCTTGGAGTCCTCTGGGGTAGTCTTGGGCCGTCTGAGAGGTTTCTTGTGCGAACTTGAAGGCATCTTGCACTCTCCTGGGCCGTCTTGGAGGCCATCTTGAACCATCTTGGGCTAACCTGGAGGCCATCTTGGAAGCCATCTTGGAGTCATCTGGAGCAGGAACAACTTTTGTCCCGGGCCATCCCGGGACCCCAGCGGGCGGTGCCGAGGCACCAGGGGGAGTTCTTGTGGAAGAAGAAAAAACCAAAAGTGAAAGGATTCAGCACGTTGGGCACCCCTGTGATGAATCAACAGGGGGCGGCGGATCGAAGACGCCTACGGCGAATCACCGCCGCCCCCTGCCCCTTTGGAAGCGCCTCTGTGGCCGACAGCTGGGCCAGAGCTTGGCCAAGCTATCGGGCCAGTTGTTCCCCGAGTCGGTTTGGAAAGACTTCGGGGAACGCACGGGGGAGCAAGAAGAGGAGGAGGGGGATGATCAAAAAAGAGGAGGAGGAGGAGGAGGAGGTCTCTTGGGCGCCTCTTGGGGCACTCTTGGGGCCTCCTGGGAGCTTACTGGGGGCCTCTTGGAAGGTTTTTGAGGGCCGTTGGGGGCTTCTTGGGGGCCTCTTTGCCCGTCTTAGGGCGTTCCTGGTTTGTCTGACGCCGTTGGAAGCCGTCTTGGGGGCTTGTCTGGGTCGTCTTGGGGTCCTCTTGGGGCATATCAGGGGTTCTTAGAGGCCATCTTGGGCGTCTTGGAGGCCTCTTGGGCCGTTTCGGGGTCCTCTTGGGGCCGTCTTGGGAGCCTTTTGGGCAGTCAAGGGGCCATCTTGGAGGCCTCTTGGGCGATCTTGGGGGCCTTTTGGGCTGCCTTGAGTGGTCGGAAGGCCGAAACGAAGCAAATGCCAACATCCTTCAGAAACCTAAGGATGACACATAATTTTGGCCTCTTCGGGCTCTCCTGGAAGACCTCCTGGACGCATTTTGGATCTGGAGGCCATCTCAGGCAGTCTTGGGTGCATCTTGAGCCGTGTTGGACGCATCTTTGGGCCATCTTAGCCGTCTTGGAGGCCATCTTGGGCGTCTTGGAGGCCTCTTGGACCGTCTGGGGGCCCTCTTGGGGCCGTTTGGGGAGCCTCTTGGTGGGCCGTCATGGGGCCATCTTGGAGGCCCCGTGGGCGATCTTGGGGCGATCTTGGGGGCATCTTGGGCCGTCTTGAGCCGTCGGAAGGCCGAAAAGAAGCAAATGCCATCATCCTTCAAACACCTAAGGATAACCCATGTTTTTGGTCTCTTCGGGCTCTCCTTGAGGATCTCTTGGGCCGTCTTGGAGGCCTCTTGGGCACCTTTTGGGCCGTCCTAGGCCATCTGGAGGCCATCTCAGGCCGTCTTGAAGGCATCTTGGGCCATCCTGGAGGCATCTTGGGCCATCTGAGCCGTCTTAGAGGCCATGTTGGCCCTCTTGGAGGCGTCTTGGGCCATCTTGGGCCGTCTTGGAGCCGTCTGGAGCAGGAGAAACCCTTTTGCAACCGCCTCTGGCCAATCTTTCCGGGTGGCCAGCGGGACTGGCCGAAGCCCCCGGGAGAGTTCTTTTGGGAAAAACCGAAAGGGTATAGCACGCCAGGTACCTCTGCGATGAATCGACAGGGGGCGGCGGATCGAAGACGCCAACGGCGAATCACCGCCGCCCCCTGCCCCTTTGGAAGCGCCTCCGTGGCCGACAGCTGGGCCAGAGCTTGGCCAAGCTATCGGGCCAGTTGTTCCCCCAGTCGGTTTGGAAAGACTTCGGGGAACGCACGGGGGAGCAAGAAGAGGAGGAGGGGGAGGATGAGGAAAAAAGAGGAGAAGGAGGATGAGGAGGAGGAGGAGGAGGAGGAGGAGGCCTCTTGGGCGCCTCTTGGGGCACTCCTGGGGCCTCCTG